CTTCGGATTGGGTGTGAGCTTGATATGAAGAATCAATCTTTTGCATCCACTGACTGACTGAGGGGTTGATGTCGGATCACTCACCTCATCGATGAGGAGTTGGTTGTCTTATATACACGAGCCATGTCATCCCGCTATGAGAACTCCGTCGTATGTACTGGAGATGCTCAAGAAGTTGTATGATGGATATACATGTTGCGGGATCTTGGTTGTGGTTCATTGTAAGAAACTGAAGTGTTAAGAAAAGCCCCCTTCAAAAATAGCGGAAATGCTCCAATTGCATGTATACCAGAAGATCTCCGCCATGGCTCATTGTTAAAAATCGAGGAAAGAAAGCCAACCTGTGATTTCCTGAAGGAAGTTCTCATTACGAGAGGCACAAGTTATGAGAAATCCCAACATTATGACTGACTAGCAGTGTAGAAGTGTAGGACTGAAATCAGGAGGCAATCAATCTGACGTGCTCTTGTTGACCGCAGTATACGCCTAGCTTTGAATCAGGATCATACCAGCTATCAATTAGCCTACCTTTTCCGGCTTCGCTGATGATAAGAGAATTGCGGGGGCGGAGCACTTGTCAACGACAGGGCGCGCAGCACTTAATCACCTCCTAGCGCTTGCTGCGACAATTATTCTGGGAGACCCTATTGGCGCATAACCTAGTATGAGGTCTGCTCTCTATGAATCGCGTATTGAAGGATATTCCAGGCAATTTGTATGGCTCAAGACACTAAACTAAAGTGGGGATAGCGCATGGCTCGGAACGTCGGAAATGCGGAATGGCGGAATGGCCGCGCGCGCGCGCCCTGCCGCTGACGAGAGACACAAATTCCCCACAGGCTTATCGATAAAAAAGCTGCTCTTTCTTCTTCTTCGCTACACTGGATCCTTTCTTGTCTCATCGCCATTGTACATTGTCTGGGCCTTTTTCTTGGTTGTTGGAGGCTGTCTGTCGCTTTCTTGCTTTGTGATTCTACCTTGATTGAGTTATACTCCTTCCTTCCTCCGGTACCCTTCGAGCGGCGTCTTCCGCAGCGCCGAGTCTTTCCCCGCACATGGATCGCGAACAGTTCAGAACAGCAGCTCATGCTGCGGTTGATGAGAGTCAGTCTCCGGGTTGATGGAATACTGGTTTGGTGCTAATCCCAGCAGTCATCAACTACTTCGAAGGTCTCCCTTCCCAGCGTGTCCTCCCCACCGTCGAACCCGGTTACCTCCGCCCTCTGATCCCCGAGAACCCGCCGGAGCAGCCGGAAGAATGGTCGCAGATCCAGGCGGACATCGAGGACAAGATCAAGCCGGGGCTCACGCACTGGCAGTCGCCCAACTTCATGGCCTTCTTCCCTGCGGGGGTCACCTACCCCAGCATCCTGGGGGAGATGTACTCGGCGGCGTTCACCGCGCCGGCGTTCAACTGGCTTTGCTCGCCGGCCTGCACGGAGCTGGAGACGATCGTGATGGACTGGCTGGCCAAGGCCCTGGCGCTGCCGGAGTGCTTTCTCAGTACCTCCGAGAACCGCGGCGGCGGCGTCATCCAGGTGACCGCCAGCGACACGGTGGCGACGATGATGATCGCGGCGCGCGAGCGGCGCGTGACGGAGCAGGTTGTCGCGGAGGGGCTCAAGCCGGATACCGTGGAATATGAGGACCGCATGATGGAGCTGCGGCCCCGGCTGGTCGCCCTGGCCAGCAACCAGGCGCACAGCAGCACCGCCAAGGGCTCCCTGCTGGCCGGCACCCGCTTCCGCAGCGTTACGGCTCGGCTGGAGGATAACCTGGAGATGACGGCGGCGGGACTGCGCGAGGTGCTCGAGCAGTGCGACAAGGACGGGCTGACGCCTTACTTCATCACACTTGGATTCGGAACGACCAACACGTGCGCCGTGGATCGGTTCGCGGAGATCAAGGCGGTGCTGCGCGAGAAGCCCCACTGGCAGCGGATCTGGGTGCATATCGATGCGGCGTATGCGGGCGCCGCCCTGGTGGCGGACGAGTGGCAGTACATCGCCAAGGACTTTGCGGAGGGCGTGGATAGTTTCAACCTGAACATGCACAAATGGTTGCTGGTCAACTTCGATGCAAGGTATGTTGTCCCAAGAATTGTTCGGTTAGTGCCATGCTGACACCCGGCATGATAGCTGCCTGTTCGTTCGCAACCGGTACGACCTCACCAACGCCCTGGACATCACCCCGGCCTACCTCCGCAACGAGTACTCCGACTCCGGCAAGGTGACCGACTACCGCAACTGGTCCATGTCCCTGGGCCGGCGCTTCCGGGCGCTGAAGATCTGGTTCGTGATGCGCAGCTACGGCCTCACCGGGATGAAGGACTACATCCGTAAGACCATCGGGATCGGCGAGGTGTTCGCCGACTTGATCCGCAGCCGTCCGGACATGTTCGAGCTGATCACCGAGCCCGCGTTCGCGCTCACCGTGTTCCGCATCAAGAGCCCCAAGGCCGCGGTGACGGAGGGCGCGTCCGTGCTGCAGCCGGACGAGGCGTCCAACGCGCTGACCAAGGAGGTCTACGAGCTGATCAACTCCCGCGGCGAGATCTTCATCACGTCGACGGTCATCGCGGGGGTGTATGTCATCCGTGTCGTCAGCGCCAACCCGGCCGCGGAGGAGAAGTATATCCGCCGGGCGTTTGAGATCTTGGTGCAGACCACGGAGGAGGTGCTCCAGCGGGAGTAATTGAATCAGACCATGTATTCTAGTATAGATATCTTAGTGCTTGTTGTATACTTAGCCATAAATCACGATCGCGACGCCCTCGAGCCCAACATCAATCATTCCCACGCTCATCTTCTAACCATATTCTAGCCTCACGCACCCACTCCCTCGCTACGGAGAATGCCCCCGCATTTTATCTAATATGTGTCGTGACCCTCCCTCGAGAAATCAAGACCCTCCGCCACCCCCTCCACAACCACCCCCTCCACTATGCCCTCCGCCGCCACCACAACCTCCTCCACCATGGTGACCCCCTCCTCCATGATGTCCACCACCATGATGCCCCCCACCACTATAGTCCCCACCCCCACCATCCACATAAACCCCATGCGCCGCGTGTCGTCGCGGATACGAGCTCGTCCTCGACGACAGTTTATGAGATGAGGAATACCGCGCCGGAGAGGTCCGTTCCTCGCTGCGAGAGGAGAAGCACATTGTTTCGTTCTGCGGTAGTTTCCCCGAGAACAGCGTGTCGAATATTATATCACGAGTAGGAAGATGCGATCTCTCGCGATGTCTCTGAGCAGGTGGGCTCCTGGCTTTGGATGTGTGAAGGCTTGATCGATATGGGCTTTCCTTCTTCTTTGGTCTAAGGATTGGACCTGGGTTGGAAAGCAGTATGTTTTGAATTCTTGCGATAGTTGTCACGGTGCTTTGAGCTTTGCCTTGAGTTTTGTAGCGGCAAAGTGGAATCCATGCAAAGCTAGGCTAGTGGGTAAGGTAGGTAGGTAGGTAGTCTTATATCCCTACTTCCCTACTTCCGTCGCTGTGCTCGCTGCGTCATTCACCGGATGAGGGTGATCGAGCAAGGCTGAGCTGAGTCATGGGGGGAGATGAGGCTACCAAGGTCAAAGTAAGTATGCTAAGCGGGATGAGCCTTGCAGGTTCTGGTGTATGGTGAACCTGGTGACGGCGATGGTCGATCCGCAAGGCTTCCTTCATCGGGACCGGACTCTCTTCCCTGCGGTTGGCTGGCGTGCGCTTGCGGGTTGCGGGTTGCGGTTTGCTTGTGGCGCGGAGTCGGGCACGGGGCGTTCGCCGCGGGGGCTGTGCTTCCGTTCCCACGCGTGATGTCGGATACGAGGGGTGGGTTACTTCTTCGTGTTTTAGGTGATGGAGCTTCGTGGGTTATTGTGATTTAGGGAATTGGTGTTGCGGTGGCGGAGCTGGGTGTGCCTTGAGGGGTTAGGTATAATTTGGCTGGTTGTTTATGGTGATGGGTGCTGGAATGGGTTCTCATCTTAGTACAGTGCTGAAGAGCTAAAGATATTGCGAATGGAAGGTTTCTAATTTATATCGGAGGTGAGGTATTTTGTATGATGTTGAGGATGCTGGCTGTATAGATGAGGGGAGATAGGCAGGGAAATCGCCGGATGCAGTCCACTTAGTCTATAGGCTCTTTTTTGTTGTAGCACATGCACGACCGGGACAAGCTAAGCGATTCGATCTCGATAAAGTAAAAGCGATACTACCCATCGGCTACAATCACTGTAAAAGTGTTTGAACACCCTCCTTCGGGTGGTTCTTTTCTCTTACATACTCAGGACTAGTTACACTTTGAAATTGTCACCATATTCGCCGTGAGAATGCCTTTTACCATATGAATCAAACAGAAGAGCGATCAGGTCGGCGGTGCGTAGATGTGGCGTTTCTGAACCAAATAGTGGAGGGTGCGAGTTCATTTTTCTCACTGCCTAAGGCCCTAGGGCCGGGACGAACCCTCTTTGCTGGATCTCTTTCCTAGGAATATGGGAAAACACTAACAGCAGGCAAGACAAGACTGAACTGAAGATTGCAGCAGCCCTACCTCGGCTTCTAGTTTTTTAAATGATCCATAGTAAACTACCCATCATCCCCTCTAATCCTATCTACTCAAAAATAACTTTCCACATGAATCTGCAGTGGTACAAGCAAAAGATGCATCCTGAAGCATTCAGAAAAATGGGGCTATATTTTAGTTTCGAGTACAACTGTACAACAACAGCCGCGGTGGTGTAGTGGTATTAACATTGCAGAGCCCCCGTACTAGCCTTATGCTAGCGGTGTGGAGTGCAGATTCTGGGTTCGAGTCCCAGTCGCGGCATCTTTTTTTGTCTCTCTGCGAGAAAGGAAGGCGTCATGAAGATATCATCGGTGAGAAGAGTGTGCTGGAGGGTGGTTGTTGGGGAAGGTACGTCATACAACTAGAAGTGTGGATGAAATGGTTGTTGTAGTAGAAAGAGTCTAGTATAACGGAAAGGGGACCCGCTTATGGAGACCAACGGATGCAGGCACGCTAATTATGACATTCAGATGTACAGCGATGATATGTAATCGACATGTTATGCAGCAAGTAATCTAGCGTTGGATCAGTGAGGGGAATGAGGGAAGAAGCTCGAGACGTACAGCTCATAGAAAATCGACTGGAAGGCTGCCAGCCCAGAACGGTATAGTGACACGATCGCCCCGGTAGCTATCACTACAAGCAAGGGCCGCAAAACCAGCAGGACGGCATACTTAACGATCGACACCGTAGTCCGCCTGTTAGATCAGAAACTGCAAATCAATTTGCTTCATGACCGTCATCTTACAGGATAGAAGTTGTCATGTTTGTCAATCTTAACGATGACCAATAGTCACGGGGTCTTATTGCATGGTACTGGGGGTAGGGCCTAGTCTGCCTTTTAGGTTATTCTATTATCCAGCTTCAATCCCTGGAAGGGAGGTCGGTCTTTATATCCACCATGCTAGAGGTGGGCTTTCCCAGAGCCACGGTGCTATTTAAAGGAATGCACTCTATTTGATTGACGCACAGGTGGCAAGGGGATTGAGACACGGGCTCTGACGTCGAGAATTGTGCTGCCTGGATTTGTACAATCTGGCTGATATCTTTGCCGCTCTTTCCGACTTCCTGGCCAGGTAAAGTGGAACCAGGAGGTAGCCAACCGGGTCCCTTTTCTGCAAGCATGAGGCCGCGTCTGGTGAATTTGACTGGGCTTCCAAGGCAAAAGTTGAGTTTGCCGGCTCCACCCGGACCCCAAAGTCTCCACACCCTTTCAGCCCTACGGGGCTGGCTGCCCAGGGGGTGTACTTCCCTCAAGTTCCCTACTGACTTTTCCTCAAAACAGTTCCATCCTCTTTTCTCAATCTCAAGTCATACTGCTGATCTGTCAGTACAACACCACGTATGGGATCATCTGCGGCCATCCGAGTCACATCCAGTCCTACAAATCGGACGCCTACAAGTCAATGGGTTGAACATCCACATTTGCGGACCTTCCTGCCATCCGACAAAATCTAATGTTCGACTCTCCCTGGCCGCCTGGTGCCAGTTCATAAACGCACATAATGCATCCGGAAGACACTCCTCGCTTCACCCACTTTTCCTGTCAATCTCAAGAGGTCACGGTAGCCTCCACCTTTGAAGGTCTCCTGGCCGACCGGTCCGAGCAACTCCCAGAATCAGATGAGCTCAAAGCAGACGCATGGTGGTTGGACATCTGCAACGCCTCTGAAGAGGATGTCAAGGCGGTCGGGCAAGCTCTTTCGATTCATCCCTTGACGGCCGAAGATATCGTCACGCGCGAGCCACGGGAGAAGATCGAAACCTTCCGGAATTACTATCTGATTTCGTTCCAGACCCTGCTGTCAGCCACGGAGGGCGACAGCATGGAGCGGATAAAGTCTTTGACTAGTCAGCCACACACCATCCCTGACTCGGCCGGGTTATATATCCTCGTCTTCAAGAACGCCATCGTCACGTTTTCTCCCAAAGGATGCAACCATGTGTCGCGGGTGCTAGATCGAATCCACCGGATGCAGGATCCGTCAATCATGTCGAGTGAATGGATCTGCTATGCCTTGATGTGAGTTCCCTATTTCCGGAAATAGTTCGAAATCGGATCAAGAGGATGAGGCTGACAAGGTAACAGCGACGATATCGTCGACAGTTTCGCGCCTTACATGCGAGCCGCGGAGCGCGACTGTGACGCCATCGAAGACCAAGTGTTCATGGCGCGGGCCGATGACATCAAAGCGATCATCCCACTGGTCGACCGCCTCCACAAGAGTATCACCCAGCTCACCAACTGCCTGAGCGGGAAGAACGACGTCCTCAACGGGTTCGTCAAGCGTTGCCAGGCGAAGAGCCAGAACGCCGTCTTCTCGAAAGCGGAGATGATCGTGTACCTGGGCGACGTGCAGGACCATCTAATCACCACGCTGACCAGTCTGTCTCACTTCGACGAGATTGTCGGTCGGTCGCAGGCGAACTTCCTGGCGCAGATGAGCGTCAACAACATCCGGCTGAGCTTGAACATCAACGAGATTCTGAGCAAGGTGACGGTCCTCGCGAGTATCTTTGTGCCGTTGCATATGATCACGGGGCTGTGGGGGATGAATGTGCCCGTTCCGGGGCAGAATGCTGATGGGCTGGGGTGGTTCTTTGGGATTGTGGGGTGTTTTGTTGCATTTATTGTTGTGTGTTGCATAGTCGCGCAGCGGATGAAGTTGCTATGATCCTACTAACCTAAGGGGCTTGTCTGCGCATGGGAGACTGAGTTTAGCAGATTGAAAATAATATGTAAGCCAATTGGGTACCTGTACTGCAGCCGGACCACCAGAGATCATCTAGACCATCAGCCATCAGAATCTCGAATGGGATTTGCTCTTAATTTATCCGAGCCCGATGAACGTCATACTTCCCGAGAAAACGTTTATGAACTATTCCCGATTTTCCGATACCAACAAGAATTGCAATCTGACGCGAACAGGTATGGTAGGCGATAGCCTTCTTAAACCCTAGTTAGCGCTGCCTGGGCTGAGTTCTAGATCTGACGCACCCTCTTTCCGGATGGCATCACAGACTGCTAGAAAGTGCCAAGACGGAAGTATGACCCTTGTCCGATAGTAATCAATTGGAAGGGAAGCCCCAGGCTATCGTAGTAGAGACTCCGGGGTCTGCTCGTATTTCGCGACGACACCCCTGCGAGCCTTTCCGCCCGGGATAAAATGTTGTCTGGTTCTTGTCCCTCTGCGATGATTAAAATATGTGTTGATTTCGGGAAAACGAGTTTTTCGTCGTGGCGCATATCGGTGCTTACACTTATCGACCTAGGCCTCTTGTGGGTGTGCTTATCTAGGATTTGCCTGAAGAAGCCAAGCATTTCTTTCGCTGCAGCTTCGTCAAAATCACATGGATCATGCACCAATGGCAACCGCCCATTGATAGTCGACCACCTCGTTGATCCTTGGGTTGCATCACACCAGTTGTCCTAGTGCTCTACTCCGTAGTGCTTTTTTGCCCTGAATCCTGGCCTGTAATAATCATTAACCTTACATGATTATAATGTGTAATTCTGGCAGCCCTTCTCAACCATTCTGAAATGGTCCCTTGCTTCTCCCAGAAAGATACCATTTGGGTTCTGATCCCAACAAAAATTCTAAGCGATCTCCATTATCACATGCCAAATAGTCGAACACGGGGAGTCTTTAATCCCCACTCTTCCTCGCATCTAAGGGTGGAAGTTTTCGGAGCCTCGACCAGTGGGTGACCTCTCTGTGTACAAAAAGTTCCACGTGGCGCTCGGACTAATCCTGTCGGCCAATGAAACAGTTTGAAGAAGAATTATACGAATCAATTGGAATGTGGTTAGTGCAACGCTTACCCAGACACTAGACTCGGTTGAGGAAAGCGGTCCAGTGGGCGGGAACTGCAGCACTGCAGCACTGCACCTGGAAAAGGCCCCCCCGCCCACTCACTGTCTGTTCACTCACTGACTGCTGTTCTTGCTCTGTGTCTTATCTATCATCGAATGACCGGGCAGACTGGAGGGGCAGGGGCTTTATCAGACCCCACCAATGGCTTGTCTGCTTGACTAGGTAGTTCAACTTCTTTTTAATCTATTGAGCTCTAATCGGCCAACGCCGGCATCTTGTGAGACCTTTCCTAAAGTATCTTAGGTTGAATTGCAGTCTCGAAGAATGATGAAAACTTTCTTAAGTAGCCATGCCCCTCAGAATTTTAGATGCAAATTATAATCACGCCGAAAGACTTTTTCTCTATCCCTGGTCATCTCATCAGCATCTGTCTTCTTGGATGAATCCCGGTGCTCTGCACGATCTTGTCAGCTAACTATGGAGGGCATCAGACCCAGTGACCAGGCAGTAGACCCTGGCTCAGCCTTACAACCGGACAAGGCTCAGACGATGGACCATGCGGATGCTCAGCTTGCGGCGGAATTTGGGTACAAACCCGTCTTGAAGAGAGAGTTCGGATTATTTTCTACCTTCTCCTTCGCCGTCAGCATCTCGGGATTGTTCGCGACTGTGATGACAACGATGATCTATCCTTTGGAAGCCGGAGGTAGTAGTGCTGTCGTTTGGTGTTGGTTAATTTCTGGATTCGGTTGCATGTGCCTTGCAGTGAGTAGAGCGCCGTCGATTGAACACGACGTTGGTGGTGTCGCATCGCTGATAGGGTTATGCTAGTGCTCCGTTGCCGAATTAGCCTCAGCATACCCGACTTCGGGGGGTTTGTGAGTCCGACATCCACATCCTTCGTCCCCAGAAACCTCTACAACAGGACTAGGAACGCCAGTTCTAACGTCGAATTCTAGGTATTTTACAATCTCTAGATTGGTTCCGCAGGGATGGGTCGCTTCAATAAGTTGGTATGTGTCGTCCGCTTGCTCCTCGGGCTATGCCGGGTACTAAGACATTTTGTTCTAGGCTTACCGGATGGCTGAACCTCTTGGGACAGATTTGTGGTGTAGCATCTTCAGAATATGGTGGAGCACAGATGCTGCTCGCAGCTGTCTCAATGGCTAGAGATTTTGACTATGAAATCACTACCGGCACCACTGTCGGGGTCATGGCCGCGCTGACCATCACCACTGGCCTCATCAATTCCCTTTCGACATACTGGATGGAGAAGATAACTAAGTTCTATGTGATCTTTCACATCCTGGTTCTTGTCTCTTGCTCTATCGCTTTGTTGGCTATGACCGAAAAGAAGCACGACGCTTCCTACGTCTTCGGTCACATCGAGTCGAGCACTGGATGGCAACCCATTGGCTTCAGCTTTCTATTTGGTTTCCTTTCCTCGAGTTGGTGTCTCACAGACTACGATGCTGCGTCGCACCTATCAGAGGAGATTCGGAATCCAGAGGTTATGGTTCCATGGGCTATCTCTTCGGCGATGCTATTTACGTACCTTGCCGGCTTTGTATTCAACATCGTTCTTTGCTTCTGCATGGGCGATGTGAGTGGAATTCTGAGCTCTCCAACACAGCAGCCCGTTGCGCAGATCTTCTATAACAGTCTTGGAAAGACAGGTGGAATCGTTTTTACCGTTTCAGCGTTGCTAATCATCAAGTTCGTGACATGGACCGCCATGCAAGCTCTCGGTCGGACTGTCTTCGCCTGCGCGCGCGATAGGATGTTGCCCTTCTCCTCTGTCTGGACCCAGGTCAATTCCAAGACAGGAACCCCATTGAATGCTGTGTGGATATCTACCTTTTTTTGCATCGCGATCAATCTCATTGCGCTGGGCTCCTACACGGCGATATCTGCCGTGTTTACCCTGTGCTCCATTGCTCTCGACTGGAGTTACTGCATTCCGATTCTTTGCAAACTCTTTTTTGGCAAGTTCAAGCGTGGACCCTGGCACATGGGCAAACTCAGCCCGTTCGTCAATGCCTGGGCTTGTCTGTGGACTCTCTTCGTTTCAATCATCTTTGTCCTTCCCACTGCAAGGCCGGTGACAGCCGAGAATGTAAGTGATGCTTGCTCTCTTTTTAGGTGGTATCGACATGGCTGACAGTTTTTATTTCAAGATGAACTACGCCTGCGTCTTCCTGGTCTTCGTCTTGCTGTTTGCCCTGGTCTACTGGTACATCAGTGGCAAAAAGTTCTACCACGGCCCCATCACCGAAGGGGCAGTTGTAGACGATTACTTGGCCGAAAGCAACACCAGCCAGAAGCCCGACAAGACTGGAACTCGAGTCTGAAGGGTGGTCTCTAATCATTCTTTGCAGTCGACGATACCCGAAGTAGGATCACGTCACGTGCGGAGTCCAACAACCCTAACGCGACAATTGCCCGACCAGTTTACATACAACTATCCGCCGCACAACCGGTCCCACTAAGCAGCAAACCCATATTTACCATTTCACAATGAGCCCAACAGCGACATTTTAGTGCCTAGCGATGACATTAAGTACGCGAAGTCTCACTCTGCGACCCGATAAGACCTCACGAGCCCCTACAGCAACCCGGTTCCCAACGCACCACTCCACTGACCGAAAGGAAGCCCAAAGCGACTTTACCTGAAGCCTCACCGTATCGATACCCGGCCCCGGCGACTTTTTGATATGGGCTGATGATATGAGCCCTCGCAGCATATATCGCCAGTTCAGTTGGTCTTGTTGTAATATAGCTTTCTTCTTGGGAAAGAGCCTTGCCATTTGGTCATTTTCGTACAAAGTGTCCTTGGTCTGTATGACCATGTTTCGGTCAAATCTTGTATCCACCAAAAGCTTTTGCCTACTTCTACGTCTATTTTTTCAATATTGTTGCTATTTCATATCGTCTTTTCCCCACCGCAAAAGCATTGAATCTTTACCTAGCCACCTCCCACAAGTAAGCAAGCGAAAGCCCCAGGAAGCCCTGACGGCCCAGAAGCGAGGCATACCCCAGGTTGCAGCTACATCCCCTCCTGCTCTCTCTCATGACGAAGTCGACCGCACAAAGCGATGAACTAGTGGAATAAAGATGTAGTGAATGGGAATTGTAGCACTGGAACTGGAACAGGAACAGGTCCCGGCCACACTGTTCGCTCACTGACTGCCATAATCCAGCTGGATTCACTAGCTCGCTAATTGTATGAATGTCCATAGTATGAATAACCAAGGTAGGTCAGTGCCCTATTTACCTAGTTAATGTAAGCTTTTCTTCTTGTCACCTTCGCCATTTCTTGTGAATGTCATACTACTAAGCGAGTTGGATTCACATAGCTGGTAGCTGAGACATCAAGGATTCACAACATAGATGGTAAAAATAAATAGATAACCTCCCTATCACGCCGATTCTTCTCTTCTCTTTCTCTCTCCTCCTCGTCTCCCATCTTTCTAATCCTATCCTTCAACCAATTTGATCTTGTCCAATCTAATTGAGGAGGTAAGATCAGATGATATTCTATCTGCTCTCTTAGAAAATCCCATCGTGTCCCGATTGGCCAAACTCAATCAAATGAAATAAGAAAGTAATCGACTCCATCAAGGCGGGTTACTCGACTTCTATCGCATTGAGAAGTTTCCACTTTTCTCGGTATATCATATCGTCCGGTATAATTTGCCAATACCAGAGACTATAGCCCAGCAAATGAAGCCCTATGCATCTCAAAATGGCCAAGGTTATCGAAGTAAGTATCATGATCGCTATGTTGATTCAGTACTAACTAAACTAGACTCACAAATGCTATGCGTACGGTAGAGTCGGTCATTCAAGGACCGATTACTCTCAGAACATAGACGGTGAAAGAATAAGACCATAGGGTCAGTTTGTAAGTATATCCTATTATCCTTCTCATTTCTGCATTATACTGATGTGCTCTTAGATT